CCAGTGTTCCATGGCCAGGACAAAAACCGCATTGTTCCTCCTGAATCCAAGGTTCGACTATCGGTCGAATTCTCCTCTCCAGTACCCTGGCATAGACTTTCCCGGGGAGGCTGAGGAGTGTGATCCCCCTATAGTTGGAACACACCCTCCGGTCCTCCTTCTTAAAAAGAGGGACCACCACCCTGGTCTGCCAGTCCAGAGGCACTGTCCCCAACCGCCATGCGACGTTGCAGAGGCGTGTCAACCAAGACAGCCCAGCAACATTTTTCATTGGTTTCAGATTGGTCCATTTTTTACTTCACTTAGACACAGCAGCAGCTGAAAACTGTGTTTTCATTGACCTTCAGTGGGTTGGCTCTCCTTGCTATAGTGATGTATAGTAATGTACTCAAGAGTGTGTCAGTGCAGTGTGATCTCACTGTTAAAATGCTACTGATCTGTTAAAGTTTTAATCTTGCCTAGCCTGTCTATGGTATATAAAATCAGTTAAGCTGGTTAAATTCAGGGTATAAATTGTCGTAATAACACAAGCAAACTATAACTAAACCCAGCTTCTGGAGATAAAAGAAATACAATATTTTCCTAAATGTAGTTTCAGACTGGCTAAACTGAAAGACAGACAGACAGTAGCTTAGAGTTGTTTACAATTAGAATTTTGACAGTGGTTCCTGACTGCTTGTTTCTGTTTTCATGCTGCTTCTGTCAGCTGCTGAGTGAAGAAGTGGACAAAGTAAGTACCTTCACTAGTGGACATTGTGTGAAGCATGATGTGTTTGTACAGTACAGTTATTTTAAAATGTCCATCCTTGGGGCGACTGTGGTTCAGTTGGTAGAGCGGTTGTCTCCCAACCGGAGGGTTGGAGGCTCGAATCACGGTGCCTGCAGTCCACATGTCAAAGTGTCCTTGGGCAAGACACTGAACCCCCAAAGTTGCCTCCAATGGTTAGAGCCATCGGTGTGAGCTGGCGCCTTGGTTCTTGACCAGAAACAAATTTCTTGTGTGTGTAACATGCTTGGCCAAATAAAGTGATTATCCTTATCCTGTCCTTTCATTTTGACTTACAGGCAGAGCACGAGCTTCGTGTTGCTCAGACTGAATTTGATCGTCAAGCTGAGGTCACCAGGCTGCTGCTGGAAGGAATTAGCAGCACACATGTGAGTCCACAACAGTAGTCATGCAACAACTCGTTCTGTGAGTCAGCAGCACATAAGGAGGTGGGGAAAGTGGAGGGAGCTGCGGCGGTCGACCGTATTGACATTAAGGCAGTATATCGGAGTAAACACCAGCATGTCAAACACTTCAGTTTTAATGGTATGCCACTCCCATTGGATTCACTTGTAGGGGCAGTTTTTTTCAATGAACTCAACTGTGATGACAAATTAGTCCTGTTACATCCTGATAATAAGTCATCTTGACTGTGCTGACATTTGAGGGAACAAAGAGACAAACACATCAGAATGGAGAACTCTACTCTATCATTATCATGGTTTGTCTACTCTTATTCATCATCTACTCAGAAGGACAAACATATTTTGATAGTTTGCAGGATAGAAGCCAATAATCTGTGCCAATCATCTAGCAGTCATCTGTGTGAACATTTGAACCCAATGTCTAACCCAGAGCTTTCATTTCCTATTTAGTAACAATCCTGGGAGCAAACTGCTGTGGAGGCGGTTCTAAGAATAGGGCCTAAGCTTGCCTTGCAATGCACGGCTTTCAACAACAGTAGCAACAATTACTTTTACAGTAGGCTAACAGTATGCAGTAAATACTGTAATTATAACTGTTCAATTTTCCCAGGTTTTGTTTTGACACCTAAACAGTTCAAAGCCAGCGAATAACATTAAATGGTACAAAGCTAAGAAGTAAAATGCCACAGGTTAACACAAAAGACACTAATAATTAAAATGTATTTATATAAATTTCACACAAAGCAGGCCCTTTTTCGTGGAACAAGTAACAGGTTAACTTCCATCTTTTCTGGAGCAGTGGAAGTAAATGAAGCCTTGAGATTCGATGCAAACAATTCTTACAGGTGTCCCAACTTTGGCTGATTACATACAACAGCAGATTTTATCTGTACAAAGGCAGTGTTGGAAAAGACTGTGTTACTGCACCCCCCGAAGCATTATTTGGAAAAAGGCCATTAACAAAGGAGGTCAGAGCTTTTTGCGGTTCCATCCCGTAGCAAGATAATGATCCAAATAAATAAAACCTTCCAGACTGTTTAGAAGAAACTAACAAGACAGTCGGCTTCAAATGATTTAACAGCAGCACAGTGTCCAAATATTCCAGACGACAAGTGAAAGCAGAGTAGCTTACAAGTGCAACACATCTGTGGGAGCTTCTCCAACAGTGCTGTCTATCCAAACAATATTTTATTTCAGTTGTGGAACTGTGTTCAACTTCTGAATTACACTAATAACAAATGGAAAAACAGAGGTGACCCCAAACTTTTGAATGGCAGCAGGGTAGCTAATAAGATATGTAGTATTATACTGAATTTACTATATTGTGATAAAATATGACTTTTTTAAATAATTCAAACATTTCTGAGGGGTGCAGCATGCTCTGGGGAGAACTTGACCTCATAAAACCCTGCTGGGCTAATTCTTGAAGTTTCCATGAAGCCTGTGGGCATCCACGATCGTGGATACGTAATACTCTGGCACATAGCCACATAACTAAGTTAGTCAGTCATCATTTGTACTTTGAAATTTGTAGAGATTAAACAAACAAGATATGACATGCTATAAGTGGATTTTGTTACCTTTTGAGAGATCCAGAGTTTTCCCCCGTCTTTCCTATTTTTTATCCTGAGCTAAGTGGCTGAAGCCTAGTGTTGGTTAGACGGATGTGATGTGGCATCAGTCTTCTCATTCAAATTTCAACCCAAAAGTGATTTAGCATCTTTCTCAAAAAGTCTACCTATTCCTTCAAGATTAAACTTTAAAAAAAAACACTGTGATTTATATTTCTTGCTTGTGTTTTTGTTTTATGCGCTCACCTGTCAGCCACCAAAGAACACACTGATGGAAGTGACAGATTAAACCTGACGTGTCATTGAAAGTTGGTCTGGATACATTTTAAGCCACCGTTAAACACACAGTGAATTCCAAGGTTAGCAATTACAGTGGGTAGCTTTTTGATGAGTTTTTGACTGAAATTAGGAAATCTAGTATATTTGGTGGTAACGTTTCATTGCTATAACAAAAATGAAGCAAGCTGTTGTTGTGTACTACTGGGTGTCGCACTCGTACTGAATTCATCTTTACCTTTCTTCCTTCAGCTCAACCACCTGCGTTGTTTGCAGGATTTCGTAGAGGCTCAGGCAACTTACTATGCCCAGTGTCATCACTACATGCAGGACCTTCAGAAGGAGCTCAGCAGGTGAGGGTTCTCTGTTTTATGACAGATGACGTTTATTGTTCGGTCTCTCAGGAAAATGGAAAATGACATTTGTTTAAATAACACTGTAAAAGCTGTATTTTTTCACCCTTTGGTTGTAGTGTTTAGTTTATGGGAAGAGCTCAGCATCTCATATTTCAGTCTAAGCATGATTGTGCCCACTTCTGCTCACACAGCCGCATATTGGGCTTATGCCATTTAATGTTTACACAAACATAAGTGTATTGTGAGACAAGTCACATGCTTCTTTGTTGTCTGCCAAGGCAAAATACAAGGGCTCCATATTTCCCAAAAACACATTACATTCCAGATGATTACAACAGTCATCGAATAAACAATGTTTTTGTTTATAAAGAGCAAAGACTAATGTCATTCTCCCACATCATTCTGGTTTGACCGCTGCTGCTTTCTGTGAATTAAAGTGGTGCTTGATCCAGCATGAGTGTTACAGCACCATAGTTCCAGTGTTCTTCCTTCTTAGACCATTGTCAGTTGCTCAAAAGGTCTTTAATTCAGTGTCAGCATGTGTGTGAATGGATAATGCTGCTGTTAGTCAAGCACTTGTGTATTAAGAGGTTATTCTTACTCTATACTTAAAGGCAACACCTACCTAAAGAAACAGGATCACACAGATTGATGAAAACATATTGAGCCTGTCACATTCAGTTGGCATACAGGGCTCTTTTGAGCTTTTATTTATTAAGGTAGTCACGGTGAGGCGGACAGGAAACGGGAGACACCTGGAACAAATGTCAGCAGCCAAAGTCGAACCACTGCAGCGTGCTGTACCATAGCCACTTGGCTATGGGGTGCCCTTTAAGTTTAATAAATTAAAATGTAAAAATAGTATTGTTAAACCATCTTAAAAACTCCTATTTGCATTTATTTTTAACCAGCTGACCGAATTCATGCCTTCACCTTACCTAAAAGTTGAAAAGAGCTGCAAAATATAACTGGACATAGTAATATAATGGCATGGAAAGTAACATTGAATAATATATTGCTCTACTCTAAATAATCTAAAACCAAGCTGAAATGGGCTGTATGGAATCAGGGATTCATTGTCCAGGAGTGACACCAGTACTCACATGTACCACCTATCAGTAGTGAAGTCAGAGCCTCCACAGATCTTAATATCAGACATTCTGTATATTTGTCTTGATTACACTTTACACATTTAACATTATTAAAACAGATTAAATATATTTTATTGTCGCTTTAGGTTCATTTCTCTTGGGTTAAATGTCGCTGCATCATATTTTTTTGCCAACCATGCTTTAAAGCGTCCTCATCATCAATCGAAGACTAGGATTGTTACTTTTCTAATAGTAAAATAATTCAAATGTAAAACTAAGGCATCTTAGAGATCTTAACCAGCTGCAAGAGAAATAAACAAAGTTTGAAACAACTGATAAGTTATTTTCCAATAATAATTTACATGGTGGATCAACAGGCATATAAACCCTGCTATGTTGTGTTTTATAGTATTTCTATTTAAGATCTTAAAGGACACTGGGACAAATGGGATCTTATAATTAAATCATTTTATAATTGATTTTGAGAAATATGTTACTTCTGTAAAAGGTTTATCAGACCCAAACCATATAAAATAACAAAACAATAGGCCTAAATAACTTTATTTGCTTTATTAATTGTACCGTCCTACTCCTCTCAGCTCGTGAATATGTAGACAAACCATGATAATGATAGAGTAGAGTTCTCCATTCTGATGTGTTTGTCTCTTTGTTCCCTCAAATGTCAGCACAGTCAAGATGACTTATTATCAGGATGTAACAGGACTAATTTGTCATCACAGTTGAGTTCATTGAAAAAAACTGCCCCTACAAGTGAATCCAATGGGAGTGGCATACCATTAAAACTGAAGTGTTTGACATGCTGGTGTTTACTCCGATATACTGCCTTAATGTCAATACGGTCGACCGCCGCAGCTCCCTCCACTTTCCCCACGTCCTTATGTGCTGCTGACGCACAGAACGAGTTGCATGACTAATGTTGTGGACTCACATGTGTGCTGCTAATTCCTTCCAGCAGCAGCATGGTGACCTCAGCTTGACGATCAAATTCAGTCTGAGCAACACGAAGCTCGTGCTCTGCCTGTAAGTCAAAATGAAAGGACAGGATAAGGATAATCACTATTTGGCCAAGCATGTTACACACACAAGAAATTTGTTTCTGGTCAAGAACCAAGGCAGATAAGGAACAGGATAAGGACACCCACTCGCACACATTCAGTCTTGGGTTGGGTTTAGGTCTCAAATGGCATGGTTCTAGTCATGTTATCTATCAATATAACCAGCCAACATATAAATCTATTCCTCCAGCTGACGTTATGGTTTTTCTTACATTGCGTCACTAGTACATGAGGTAACCCACCCCCACCAACACAGCCCACTGTGTTGTTTGTATACAGAGCACATGTCTAGATGTGATCACGATCTCATCTTTTCAACTGAAACAGCATAAAGTAATCAACATGGAAATCCTCTTGAACAACTTACGTCCTTCATTTGTGTTCCAATCTTCACACAGATGTGCTAATGCTGTTGGCAGCAGCCACCCCTCTGGTGATGTCTGTCCTATCCCCATCTCCTCCTCATCCAGCCAAAAGCCCAGTGCGCTGGCTATGGAGCAAACACAGATCACTGTCACAGGTGCAAGAAAGGCCAAGGTCCTGTATGACTACGATGCCCACGATTCCAGTGAGCTTTCCCTGTTGGCTGATGAGGTACTGTTGGATATTCAGACTCACCCTGCACAAACATCTCTGTTACACAAGGAGCAGTGTCTGACCTTAATTTATAAACATAAACATTTATTGGACTGGGTTTATTAAAAGAATTACTGGAATTATTAAATTATTGCAGTCATTGCTCCTGTCCATACTGTCCCTGAAGTGATTATTTCTCAATGCAACTTCAAGAGCCGGGAGACAAATGTATGTTTAAAAGTAGTATAAAGCCTTTATTGTCTCCAAAGGAATCAGAATCAGCTTTATTGGCCAGGTGTGTCGGACACACGAGGAATTTGACTGTGGTACATCAGCTCTCAATGTGCATGTACATATCCCCATGCAAGGGGCAAGTAAACAGTAAACTGGACGCTGTATGTCATCCAGTGACGTCCCCTGAGTCATGTCTGAAAAGTTACAAAAGAAAAAAATGAATGTGGGAGATGCCTTGCATCAAGTGCTCCCTTATCCTCGCTAAGCTGCATTAACTAGTAGCAGGAACACATTATATCCTGTGATGAGCTGTAGCCAGGAAGAGAAGACTGATTCAATAACAAATCCAACATGTTTGGCATTATGAAAGATATTCTATGCCCTTCTGCAACTCTATTTCAATTGTTGCACTGCTTGCTCTATTTACCTAGTGCCGAATAGCAGTTGAGATCAAAATAAATCATTCTGTGGTTGTTGGTTAAGGCAGCTTAGCGATGAAAAGGGAGCACTTAGTTTGATGCAAGGTATCTCCCTGCTAATGCAAACATGGCAGAATCATTGTCATGTGAGACTGAGATTGCACAGGGATCTAAATCACACTGCAAACGGTGCCATAACTTTTTTGGTGACAGTACAAGAGCTTTTATGTATCTGTACGTCATGTAGATCTCTTAGATCATCTAATCAGTTTTTTGTTGTTTTTTTTTGATGTAGCCAGATCAAGATTAAAGCATTGGGGAGATCAGTTTAATTCAATATTGTAGATCCATGGAGAGGGAGAAGAGAGGAGGAAAAGAGAAGAGCAGAGAGCATTGTGGGAGGACCACAAGCAGTGGTCTAGCACTATAGCAGCATAACTGTTTACTTTTCCTTTAGAAAGTATCTAAGTATTTAGTGGGTATTTTCTTTGCTTTTATAAAAACATTTTTTGCTGAATTTGTCTTAAAACATCTTCCTGGTGTTTTTTCTTCTCCAGCTCATAGCTGTATACACTGTACCAGGAATGGACCCTGATTGGTTGGTTGGAGAACGGGGAAATGAAAAGGGCAAAGTTCCTGTCACCTACCTTGAACTGTTGAGTTAATGGATCAAACAACAGGACACACACACACACACACACACACACACACACACACACACACACATTACACTGACTTAACATTCATTTCCTTGAGACTTACCCTATCCCTAGTAATAACTGCTACTTGCCTACCCTTAACCTAACACCTAAACTTAACCTTAAACCAAGTCATGACTCTAAAATGCAGTGATTTAAATGGTGGGGATCAGCATCTTGTCTCCACATTGTGCGTGTGTAAACTTTTTTCAGTCCCCGCGCTGTGAGTAAATCCAGGCACACAAACACACACACCCACTCTCTTGCAGAAACCTTTGTCTTCTATCATCCATCCATCCATTTTCCTCCGCTTATCCGGGACCGGGTCGTGGGGGCAGTGCAGTTTGGGTGTTTTTGTTTGAAAACTGAAACTCAAGTCTTGTCAACTCATGGTTGTGTTTTTTACACAAAGCATTCATGTGGCATTGAAAGACAATATAATATATTAAACAATAATTCTGATTTGTTATGACTGTTATTTTTCCAGATTGTATATTTATTTTGATTTTGTCAAGAAAACCAGCAGCAGTCAGAAAATGTGGCAGGGTGTGGACAAGCCAACATTTAAGGCAGACTGTCAAAACCAGATGTCCTTGAGCAAGACACTGAACCCCAAGTTTCTCTCAGAGAAGTCACCGGTGCATGAGTGTGTGTCCATGCTTGGGAGTGTGAATGGACAAAGAGTGTACTGCAGTGTGTAGAAAAATGTCATACAAGTCCATTTACTATTTACTCAGTTGTACATCAGTTTGTGTAGATAAGGATAGTTGTTTCTTTTTTACACAGTCTTTAACAAGCATTATTTCCCTAAGGCCAAGACCATTATAATATACTGTATATATAAAATCACTTTTATTGGCCAGGTATGTTACACTTACAAGGAATTTGTCTCCAGTACAGAACCAAGGCAGCCATCTGCGACACCGACTCACACACCAATGGCATCCCTGTATCCGCAAAGCGCTGCTCTGGCCATCAGGGGCGACTTAGGGTTCAGTGTCTTGCCCAAAGATACTTCAACATGTGGACTGGGGAGAACGGGGATTGAACCTCCAAATTTCATGCTAGGGGACAACTGCTGTACCTCCTGAGCCACGATAAATGTCAGCAGTTGGATAGAATGAGGTGAGTGGATTGGCTGACGCTAGTTCAGACTTTAAGTGATAGCAATACATGGAAGTGTTGAGGGTGGAAGCATTTTAACAGAGATCTACAGTGATGTCAGGGCAACCATTCTCTTTTAAATGGCCATTTATTTTGCAGTCACACCGTAAGACTCAGAACTCAAAGTGTTTGTCATAGAAGCAGTAAGGAAACATGTTTCCCAGTACAATGAAATTCTTACTTTGCTGTCCATAGTGAATGCCAAACAACACAAAGTGAAATATAAGGTAGATAAATAGTAACACAAAATCTAAAGGCATTCAAAAACAGCAAATAAAAAGAAATATAATAAATATTTTTTTTTAAATATAATAAAGAGAGAATGTATGCTGCATTGGAGCTATATGTGCAATAGGTGGCAGTAAATGTGCAATTGTGCATATGCAAACTTAGAATGTAGACAGTACAGGTGGAATTATATGAAGTAAGTCCTGATTGTATACTCCTGTCAGCTGTTTATGAGTCTGATGGCAGAGGGAAAGAAAGAGTTTTTCAGTCTAGTGGTCCTGCATTTCACACT